ATATGTATATATATATATATATATATGTATGTGTGTATGTATATGTGTGTGTGTGTGTGTGTGTGTGTGTTTATAAAGGAGGATATCTGCCTAATGTGTCAAGCAGCACTCCAGATGTTACTGAAAAGAATCAGTCAAAAGAAATAAAAAATAACACTTTAACTATCGTGGGACATAGCTCTTACAGGTGAAGAGTAACTTTTTCATTTCGTTTCATTTCATTCAGTGAAAGTTAGTTCAGCATTTGCTTCTGAAACAATTGTGGTATTTTAAGAAATTTCTGCCCTGGATTGTTTGTTACAGGTCTTCAGCCAGCTATTTCTACGTCTGTGGTTTAAACGCAATAACACCCCTCTTCAGTCTGAATGCAAATTAGAAAAGGTTGTCTTAAACTCTGTCTCTTGCTGGCTGGAATGAACCTGTTAACAGTTTGCAGTAAACAAAAATGTAGGAACAGTTAACATGCATCAGGCACGGGGACGGTCATGAACAGATGGAACTTAACTTCGTAATTGCAAATGTACTCTTTGACATCTACTAAATGCCTAGAGGTCCACTTTTCAGGGAATCAGATGACTAAAAAGCCTTTAAAATCCAAAAAAAAATGGCACATTTGAAAGCGACTCTTAATTTCGAAACAACATAAATGCTTTGGAGAAACTTAGCCAAGATACCACAGGAAGACCTGACTATGCTTATCAATCAACAAATACAAATCTTTAGCTGAAGGGAATCAACATCTTTGAGTACCCATCTACATGCATTTAAGCCATTTAATCTCTGAAAGTCTGTTCAAAATGTTATTTCCTCCTCTGCTGCTGTTTATTCATCAGTGATTTCTTTACAAAACCACGTAAGTTCCTTTATATAATCCACCTGAGTATTCCCATTGCATCTGTCTTTTCCAGGAAGAGGGGTTAATTATGATAATAAATAGGTCACACTTTTCAGAGATCCTAATTAGTATCCTAAAGTTGATGCACAATTTTATGAGAATAGTTTGGCTGTGTAAGAAATACAAAGAGAGCAGTGGAGAAATACTGTAAGGAAAAAGAAAGAAAATAGTATATGGAGAATGAAATTATTAAGATAGGCCAAGTATCAAAATACAGGACCTTCATGACAACCTTACCACTCAGTTTTTTTAAAAAACACACCACTATTAAGATAGCAAAGTGAAGCCCCCAGTATTTAAGGAATGTCAGAATTAAGGTTAACTTGAAAACTTAGTTTATCTTCTTATATTAATGTACCTTATAATACAGTCTTTAATTACACGAGCATATTCTATTTTCCACGGGATTCCTGCCTTACTTACTGTGAAGGATGGACCTGCCCTGCAGTGCAAGGGGCTGTTTAATAAGTAGGACTCTGTCCTATTGATTGCAGAAGTTGCAGATGCATAGAAAACGAGGCAGGGGCTGTGGGGAGGGAAAAAAGATTGTCTTTTAGTGTCTGAGTTTTGCGTGTTCCTCGTTTCCTGCCTGACATTAGATCCTAACATCTAATTTCCAGAAGTGATAAAACACCCACAACTATAGCTTAACTCAAGAGGAGCTATGCTGTGGTATAAAATGCAATAGACATTGAAATGTCAAATCCCAGATGTTATATTCTGGTTATCCACATGTAGTGGACAAAATACCTCCTGGATCTCCAGAGAGTCTCATGAGAATGAATGCATTAATATTTGTAAAACATGAAGGTCCGTGATGTAGGCTGTACAATTTTTTGCCTTCAGCACGGGATTTTACTTGTGCACAGTAGAGAGCGCAAGCACATATATACAAAATAATGAGAATAAAACAAAACACTGAAAAGCTGCTAACTCGTGAGAATTGTCCATTCTGTATACTGAAGAAGAGAAGGACGGATGCACCCAAGTGCTTGATTGTGTAAGCAATGACTCTACCTATCGTACACTCAAGCTAGAAGTGAGTGGATGTTGTACAACCTGATTTCCATCATTTTCTAACTTTTCAGTGCTTGATTTTCAGCACTGAAGCAGAGTTGCTCTAACAATTTTTTTTTGTGAGGGTAAATTGCCAACTGCAATTAAATTTCATACTCTCTACTTTCTGTATCAGTTTATGGAACTGATTAATCACAACTTTTAATCACAACTGATGTTGTGATTAAAACATTGCAGGAATATAATCTAGCCAGCCACGTTAATTACAGAACCCCTTCATTTGTTAGCGCCACGAATGATAAGGAGGCTTTGCTTTCCTGGTTTATTTGGCAATATTAAAGGTCAGTAGTTTCCCTTATGGATTCTAGGCTGTTAATTCTGAGCAAGAGAATTCTCTCAGTTAATCAGGATCATTGCTGTTAATCTTAATCTTTTCTGATAATTAGACCAATGCATGAGCAACTAATGCTGCAGTAGTTCACAGCTATAGATAAAAGGCTCATAAAAGAACTCAGACAGTTGGCAAATGTGATTCTTTCAGAAAAGGATGTGGTGGCAGAGATGGAGCGTATTCCTTTCAGTTTGACATAGTGATATACTATGCATGCAGCTCTCGAGAGACTGCTCTGTATATATAGGAGGCTAGTCTTCATTTTACTACCCTTTTATATTCTGCTTGATTTTTGACTGCCAGAATGCTTTTTAGGGAAAACTCTCCAAAATATAAACAGCACATACTCTAGTTTTCTGCGTTTCTTAGGAGCTTTGACCATCAGAGAGTGGGGTCAGGTAGGCAATAAGTACCATTTTTGTGAGAGTTCCCCCATGCAGCAGTTTTAGACACTTTAGATATGTGTTAGAATTACTAACAGTGAGTTACTTTTCACAGATTTTGTGTGTTATTTTTACATTGAGACTACCTAGACTGCCTAGGCAGGTTTTACAGCTAGCTAAAAAACAGGTATGTGCATTTTCCAGGGGACTGGAAAATCAAACAGCCGTAACAAGAAACAAAAAGAAAAATAAACCACATCCCCTATTGCTAGTTCCCTTAATATATGGCTGCTTATACTGTGCTATATATGCGTTCTTCCACTATGGCTGCCTCAGCAAGAGGTCACTGTGATGCTGCAGATGATTTATGAGAAATATAGTCTCACTAACAGGAAAACAGGAGATTAGAGCTTTAAGGATAGCACATGCATTACTGCAGACAAATAGAAAATTACTTTCAAGCTATAAACCAAGCCATATTTGTCAGACAAAGTGTCATTTCCATAAGTACAAAATGCATTATAAGTCATTCTATATACAGTAGTTGACAAAGCAGAGAGGTGAAACTGAGTGCACATAAAGGAAAATCCTTCAGTGTTTTCAGTAAGCTCATTTAGCACCACAGGGAGTGCCTGTGCTTTTGCACTGTTTCTGAAGAGCGTGCCGTAAAACACTGCTCCACAGAGCTGTTCTGTTGAGCTTCTCGTTGCTGGGTTTGGGTTTTTTTTTTTTTTTTACTTTATATTACAAAGTAGTCCAAGCTTTTCCGGATGCAGTCCTGAAGACTTCCTATTGGTTTTGTCATCTCTTGTTTAACTTGTAGATTAGTGCAAAAGAAGGAGCTTATTCACAGAACTTTAAAAATACCCAGGTCCCAGGCTGACAGTCAGCTGAATATGTGAGTTTGCAAGATGCCTATACCTTTGTAGCTCATCAGACAGAAGAAGTTTTGCCTTGGTCTCAGGCTGCTACTGAAAAAATAGCACTTCTTGAGTAACTACTTCCTATTAGCCAGTATCTTAGAGAACGCAGCTAACATGGACTATGCTGCTGTACCACCTCTTCCAGTTTGGCATAAAACAAGTCAAACTGTTTTTACACAAGAACTTATTCAGGGCTTTTCACCAGCTCAGACTCTGAAGACACCAGGCTGTGCTGTTGCAAAGAGGGCAAGGAAGAGGCAGGGCAATCACTGCACCTCTCCATTCCAACAGACAGCAGAGCTACCCAGGTTTGCAGAAGAACGTGTGCTCTAGGAGACTTCTGACTTCTTCAGAAAAAGACGTTTCCTAGAGCTTCTGTTACAGCATCACAGATACCACTGATGTGAACACAGACCTCTGTACTGAAGGGCCTCTGATCCCCCAAAGTTTATGGCTTTTACACAGTCTGTGACGTTATCCAATTTTTAAAAGCCATTGTGTTGTTGTCCTTGCTGTCTCACAGACTTCCTATGCTTCAATCACGAGTTAAAATTTTGTAGCAAGAAAGCAGATCACCATGCCAAAGAAAGATCACATTCAAAGCTTTCTGACCTTGTGGATCTTACAACTCCATTGCCTGCAGCTTAAAATACACACTGATGTGGAAATCAGCAATTTTAACAGAATGTTAAAGTTTAGAGTTAGGATCTAACTGAAGTTAGAGATGTGAGTTTGGTAGTGGAGAACACATACATTGTGTTATTTAAATAATGATGGCAACTAGTATAGGGGAATGAAGTTCCATTTTCTGCTCCTGTTATGATCTGGCACTTGACTAGTTATTTTCCCTAGTTCCCAAGGTTAAAGAAGCAGCTGCCATTGGTCCTCTTCTGGCCCAGAGGAAAGTTCCAGTATCAACACTAGAGCGAGAAGGTAGATTATTTTTATTCTCTACAGTATTTATTTTCCTGTGTATTGTGTGTTTTCATGGCAACTTTTATTAGCTGAGCTTCAGAATAAGTTTTAAAGTCTTTAATATAAAACAAAAGTTTTCTTAGCATTTTGGACACAGTGGCTGGCCCAAATCATTCTGGCAGTTCCAATGAATGTGTGAATCGAATTTTATGTCCTTTTTAAAATACCTCTTAGCTGTTTTTAAGCCATGTACAGAAAGATCCCCCACCAGGAAACTTGACTTGCAATTAAATTTCACTTGGTTTATTTCAGAGTCGTGAAAAACAAAGTCATTTTGGTCACCTCTAAAATGAAAGCATGTTAGAAGAGTGTTGCATATACACAACCATATCCAAACATCCTTCCCTTACTTTCTCTTGGCTTTTCTCCGGGTCATCTGTCAGAAGTCAGTAGAAGTTTCCTCCGAATAAGACTAAATAAATATTTACTCTAAATCTTAAACATTGATTAAATTCCTATGAATTCATGATATTCCACAATTCAGCAGTATGTCCTGTGGATATCAGAGTAAGATGATATTTTCTGCTCTTTGTCACGTTAAAAAACTGTAAAATCAGTCAGAGGACGACCATATGAGGCTCAAGACTAGCCAATTTATGCACAAAACTTAAATTTCTGCCATGCCCTAGGACACTATTTCACACGTTTTCAAACAGAAAACTTTGCTAGCTGCTGGGAACTACAATGGATTGTAGAGTAGCTCTGGTCAAAGCAGAACATAAAAGCAGATCAAAGGGCGCTGTCACCCTCTCTCATAGTGGTAGAGTTGTTTCGTGATGCAACAACTTGATTTTAAGTTGTGCAGCCTTTCTGAGGGAGGTGAACTGAGCAGGAAGCTAAAAATATGCTGTAGGAGGCAATCACGAAGCTGACTACATGGTCCTGATTATGAGAGCCGTTGAAAAAGTCGAGTTCAAGAGGTGGAAACAAGAGATTGCATTGAGCTAATTCATTTACAGAGCAGCAGCATTCTCCTGTGGAGTTACCAGCTATTGAGCAGTGGCTGAAATGTTGGGATGAACTGTAGCTGGGGTTCTTCTTGGGACAAGGTGGATTCACCAAAAAATGATCCTTAAATACTTCCAAATCTTAAAAAATCAAAAGAGGCAAACATGCTGGCCAGCAGTAAGTGTGAGTACTGTAGTCTTGGAAACAAACTGTACAGTAATGCTATCTAAATGCCATGTACTGCACTTCTGTGTCTCCTGATAAAATATATTAAAAGAACAAGATGATTGTGTCTTTCTAAGGAAGTGCAGATTGCTGATACGTTATTCTTAATCTGACCATTGTGGTCGCGTTCCACAGTGATCATTTCTCCTTAATATATACTGCTTTTGATCTGCAGAGTAACAAAGGTTGAGGTGCGCCATGGATGATAAGTTTTTTATCTAAAATAAAAGATAATCCTTTATCTAAAGGTCAACGGATTGGGGTTATTCCCAGTTTCAAGTTATATGAGTACTGAGTGCTGAGGTAAAGGATTCCTCTCGTGGGAGGCCTGCCTCTCCCTTTAAATGGAAAGAAGTGGAGCTTGAGCACTTCAGCTGGTTACAGGTACAGCAGTATAACACATGGAGAGAGGAAGCCTCTAAACTTGGCAGATCCCAAACCAATTATGATGTTAGAGTTCCAAAACTAACACCTCAAACTATACCTGACAATCAGCAGGCATTCAGTATACAAAATGAAATATAAAATCCTATGCAGGTGAAAGATTGGCAGTAAAAGGCACAATAGATTTTACTGAGTTAAGGAACTAATTACTTCATCAGTTCTAATGTTTTGCTTTTTTACAGTTTAATCTAAGTCAACACTATGTGAACTCAGATTCTGGATAATTTCAGAATGACCTACACCTTCATAACTAGATGAATAAAAACCAAATCATTTTTATCAATACTTATATAATGCTGCTCTTATCTATGTGTTTCCATTGTCAATTTTTTTTGCAGTTGATTGCAGCTTCAGTCGGGGGGTCTGCCACTGGAAACAAGATACTGATGACGACTTTGACTGGAATCCTGCTGATCGAGATAGTGGTATTTAAATATTTGTCCTCTAGCTACGGTTTAATTTGATGGCTCACCGTCTCCAAGGAGAGGGGGAGAGAGGGGAGAATGGAAACAGCAATTAGGTTTTCTATCAGTGGGTTATCTTTAGAAAAGAAATAATTATAGGAAGAGGAAGAGAAGGATGGGGGTGGAGATTGTTTCTTTGAAATATCCGCGGCAACTGCTACTCAGCAATGTATTTCAGTACAAATGAATCAAAAGATGAGAAAAATGATTAGAATATAACTTGTAAGAATTGCAAGATATAAAACAACAGAAACCTTATTGGAGTTAAGCCTCTCAGAGACTAGTAGGACATTTTAACAACACATCTACCATCTCTAGATGGATGTAGCAATGTAGTTGTCATTCACATGGCTTAGACATAGCACTGTGATAACTGATCAGAAATGTCAAACTCTGTAAGTTAAAATAGTTAAGTCATTACTTAGAATGAGCCAAGGGAGGGCACTATTCAAGAGCAACCAATACCTCGCTGCTGCAACAGCAGGCCTGACAAAACCTAACAAAATGCTCCATGAGTGCAGTATGTGATTACTGTGCTGGCATTTTTAAAAAGGTGTGGCTGAAGAAATTTGCTTCAAAGGATGTATCTTCCATTGTGACACAGGAAATGTTGCGGAAGATGCTGCAGTAGGGACCAGTGGATCCTGCAGACCACTTGCTCCAATTCTTACGTACATATTGTCTCCCTCTTCCCTCACAGTCTTTTTCATCCCAGTCTTTCTTCACTAATCCTTCCTCTCTTGCTGTTTATTGCCTTTCCCCCAAGACAAGGGTCTTATCCTTGTCTTATCCTCTTATCCTGTCACTTCCAGGAAGACTTTACCCAGGCCTTATCCTGTTCCCCCAAACTTAGATTTGCTGACTCTGACTTCATGTATGGGCCCAGATGTTTTATCCTTTTGCTCTTCTTTGCGTCTTTCTCATCTCATTGGACCTGCAGGATTTGGGGAATAAACTATCAGCTGCTTTATGAGCTAACACTATTGAGCTAGCTCAAGTACTCGGAATAGTCTGACCACAGAGGCACAGCAGCACATTTCAGGCTGTCGCATTTGAAAAACTGAAATGATTTTGCCTTTGAAAGATACAGAAAACTAGGAAGTATGACTGTAATTGCTAATGAAATGTGAACTCATCTCCTTTGTAGACTGATCTGACTTTCAACAGTGCAAGCTCATTCCTAGTGAAGTATACTCCCTGCTGCTTTTCTCTAGTCTGATTCTAAATTATGCAAGTAACAGAGCTTCCCCTTGTTTTCTTAGCAAAATGGTATTCTAAGTCCATTAAAGGTGCCTTTTCTTTTTTTTTTGTTACAAGGTGATGGTTACTACATGGCAGTTCCAGCCTTTGTTGGGCACCAGAAGGATATGGGCCGTCTAAAACTTCTCCTTACTGACCTCAAACCAAAGAGCAGCTACTGCTTGATTTTCAGTTACCGGCTTGCTGGTGAGAGAGTGGGAAAGCTTCGGGTGTTCATGGCCAGCAAAAAAACTGCTCCTGTCTGGGAACAAAGCAAAGGAAAAGATGAAAGGTGGAGAACTGGCAAAATAGAAATATTTCAGGGGGCTGAAACAACCAACAGTGTAAGTATAAGACAATTTATAAGCCAATTACCATAAGCAACACAACAGCTTAATTTCCTTATACTTAAGTGTTCCACAGACTGTGGAAGTACTACTGGCAATTGGAAGCTTCATCTGGAATGAGAAATGGGAACAGTCTTTAGGAGGCAGAAAAGTTATCTAGTTGAAATTTCAGAACTGATTTACCCTAGTTGGCCAGGACACTGATGCCAGTAAACCTGTCATTTTGTAAAAACTGCATCAGGTTGTAAATTAATGCAATCAGTCAAAATCTCTGCTTAATGTCTCATACAACAAAAGGCATAAATCTGTGCCTAGAAGAATGAAAATGATACCTGTTTCATGCAACAGAGCACTCTCAAATCACACAAAACTAGACCATTAGTGAAAAAGGCACATCACTTATAATCAAGGATGGGCAATCAACCTAGATGGAGAACAAAATGCTAACCAACAGAGAACAGTGTGAACTCATGTATATCTGAAAACTGCCTCAGTCAGGGCTCAATCAGCAAGTTTCTCCTTGAAATTCTAGGACCCGGTTTTCATTATATGAATATATGTTTTTACTGCTGAGTAAAGGGTTCTACTGTGAATATAAATGAAATGCAAGCCCTTTTTAAGGTTCTTTGCTCTGCTAAAATGATGTAAAAGAGCTTTTACATAATCAAGAATCAGAGTATAACCTAAAAGTCCCCTATTCGTAAAAATGAATGTAAAGTATATATAGGATCCAAAAACTGAGCCTCAAAATAGACGGAAAATGGACAGCTGCAATGTCTCCAAGGAAAGGAGTGCACAAACATCACGTTTTGTGATATAGCTATGTGATTAGATTTCACTCAGTTTACATTTTCTTTGCACAATGACAGTGAGTAAGCCTATTAAAGGAATCCATTTGGTATAGTAAATCTGTGTAGAGGATTATCAGTCTAGTTCAAGTATTACAAGGAAATTATAAAAACTGCAAGGATTTAAGTCATTAATTCTTTCCTGCATTGTGATAAAACATTCCTCAGATGTAACATTATACCTAATTAACATTAAGAGTTGCTAAATGGTTGGATAAACTACATTTTCACTTATAATACGCCTCTTTTCTTATGGCAGATCACCTTTGAATCAGAACGTGGGAAGGGCAAAACTGGAGAAATTGGAGTGGATAATGTTATACTAGCTTCTGGTCTTTGCCCCGAAGAGACCTGATAATCGAGATTTCAGTATGTTGTTTTCAATCCTATTTTAATATTTGCCTTACTAGTCGTGCATTTTTTATCGTTCTCTAGATAAAAAACAAAAACGAAAAACAAAACCAAAAACTGTGCCTTGAACTTAATGCAGCAATGCAAACAGAAAAACTGACATGTGCAAGATGCAGAATATCCTTATTGGTATATCTTTTTATATGAATTATTCTAATACATGTTTTGAGTGTAGCACTACTGTATTTTTTCATTCAAGATCAGGGTTTATAAAGTATTAAAATACTTTCCTAGCCTTTCTACAGTCGGTAAGCTTTTATTCCTTGAAGTTCTTCTCAAGACTATTTTTAAGTCTTCTATTTCATTTCTTCTACTTCACAAAAATTTAAAGCAGTATTTAAGACGTTGTTACCATGTCAGGTGATGTAACTTTAACTTCCTACTTAGTGTGTAGATATTAAATCTATTCAACAAGTAAGAGGAAAGAGAGGAGGTTTTCTTCCTCCTCTGTGGAGGTAAGCAAGTTCTAAGTGGAATGTCTTTTAGGTGTATTTTCATTGTTAATAAAGTATGTAAAATATCTATTTGTTATCCATGTCTTTGAATCACACAAATCGCTGTTTAGAAATGATCCCTGTATATTTTTATAAGCATTTATGCAGGCCCTTTTTACTTCACAGAGGTGTGAACCAACAGTTTTCATTTTCCAGGGTAGAGCATAGCTTATTGGCCACACAATCAGGCTCCTTCTTATGCAATTGAAAAAAATAATCTTTGCTGCGAGTCCCTTCATGTCCCTTCAGACTTCAAGAAAAGTGATGGTGAATATCCACCATCTGCAGGTACCAGGAGGTGAGCAGAACGTTCTCACAGAAAGTAGGAGCTGACACCTTGCCCCTCCGCCCACACGCGTGAGCACAAACACACATGCACACACATATGTACAAACGCGCAGGTACAACACATATGCATTTGAGGAGGGCCTAGAATCCAGGTGCCACCTTTTCTGAACAGAATTCAATGACTATGCCATGGGGCAAAAGACCACCTTCTCCTTTCCTGTGGTCTCTTAATGAATGTACTTAACAGTCCAAATCCCAAGTGGATAGAGATGTCCATGGAGAAGCTCTGAATCAGGCAATGTTCAGTTATAAGTGAGTGCACAGGTAATCCTCTTGGTTAGTTCTGTATGTCCCCTTCTGGGTTGACTGCTTATCATATATTACTAGTGATGCCCTTTATTTCATTTGTTGTATGAAAAAGGCAACACCTGAAACAACTGAATAAACTCTTGGAGAGCAACAGTGAAGAACCCTGCAGAATTTAGCCTGTACAAACGCAAGCTTTTTAACAAAAAGCAAATAACTCCAAAAGTCCCAAGACCTTGAATTACACCTATGAAGAAAGTCAAGGATGTTTGAGACATTTCTTGTTAAAACGCAATATTTTTGCACTTGAATCCAATTGAAAGGATCTTAAAACATTTTCCTACTATTAAATGTTATTTTTATACATTAAGTAAGGATTCTCCACTGCAATTCTTAAGTATCATAAAGATGAAAATAATGGAGAAGTGCTTTCAGTGATTGAGTACCACTCAGTAATTACTTCACCATTATTACTTCCTAACATGCTATGAAGTTTTTAGGATACAGGTAAAAACCTGCATTTACTGAAATCTATGACTATATTCATTAAGAGGTAAGCAACAAGAAAGAGTTGGTGACAAGTTATTTGGTCATATGTATACTGTTACATAAAAGCTCATCATGACAAAAAGATTTTTGATGGAAAGAACTTCTATTTTTGACAGTTACTGCCTCTGACATACCTGCCTTTCAGTTGCATTTCAACAGATGAAATTACGTTAATACAATTCATAGAGTCTCTCGGAACCATCCCTCGCCAAGCACAACCCCAGCTTTTCAGTAAGTGAACATTATTAAACCATTGACAGAACACTGGTTGTGAATTTTTTATTTGAGGAATATTTAGTCCTGAGTGATGCAGTAAAGCATAAGTGTATGTTTTAGAAGTTTGGTTTTCTGATTTGGTTTCCCTTTTTCAGGAAATAACCTGATACTCTATCTTAAAATCCTTGTTCTCTCAATTTCTTAACATTTACGTAATTCATTATACTAATTTCTATTTCAGATAGAGCCCTGAGAAGAATATTCTCCTTGCACAGGTTTTAGAAATCATTTGAATAGTCATCCTGTTAAATCCTCAGATTTATGCTAACTTTAATCCCACGTATAAAGTGTTTTATTAATCCATTTAAAAATGAAAGTAAAATAGAATATTATTGATTTATATTGATATAGGAGTCAGACTGTTCCAGGAACAGCTCCTCGGAGGCATTTTGCATGCAGCAACCCCATTTTTAGTAGCATAAATAGAGGAGGTGTTAGGAGGCACATTTAATTTGCTAGTATAGGTTCTCTATACAGACAACAGCAAAGCTGGCAGCTCGCTGGCAGCTCTTCTTTCAGAGCTGACTGCCCTACTCTATTGCTTTCTGCTGGCTGTGTGCAGAACATCTGTGCTTAACTTTGATATCCCAAATCTGTCTGCTGAGCTGCACACCTTTGGGGTGAAAGGCAGTAAATATGACTTAAGTGGTTAAAGTTGGCAGGCAAAATCTGGCCCTTGATTTCAGGCTGATAGCAGTTTTACAGTAAACTATAGTGTTTTGGCTCACTGTAGTTTATTAGTTTCCTTACTGTATTTGAGAATTTAATACATGGTATGTTTGGGTATCACATCAGAGGCTAGCTTCTCATCTGAAAAAAAAAGTCAATTTACAGTTATTTTATAGTATAAAAGGCAGAAGTCACAGACATGATAAAATGATAGAAAATAATGATAAACGCATGTGAGAAATTTATACCATAAAGTGATCAGGGACAATATACTTCTAAATTTAAAAAGCTGTCCTCTCAAGCAGTATTCTTATTCTAAAACAAGTAACATTCAGAGCTAGAGCAGATCCTGGAGTAACAAAATACCCAAGAAAAACAAACATGCCTTTATAGTGAATTACTCATTAACATGGCAGTCCTAATTTCCATTGTCTTCTTTGAAACTGCCTCAATAGTAAAATAAATAGTAACTTTACATAGAGGCAAGGGGCTGCTTGGATAATTACCCAACCAAGGTAACAAATTTTACAGCTGAATCAAAATTATGCAAGGTAGTCAAACATAATGTTGACTGCAAAGGATCTTGTGATACTGAGTTACTGGACAAGAAAATGGGATGGAAAATACACCGTGGGTGACTGCAAAGTATTGGAATAGGAATAAATAATCATCATTACATCTGTGTAGTCAGGGGCTCTAAATTAGCTGTTACCTCTAAAGAAAATGATCTGAGAATAACTGCAACTACCTTTGAAATGCTCCCTGGCACAGAAAAAGGCAAAAAGCATATGAACCATATAAATGTCCCATCTCCATACTGAGTTCACGTGCATCTTTCCTATGTTCCCCATACTGATATTGCTGTCCACCGTGTCCTACAGTGCTAACTTTGCAGTTGACTTAACTTGCTCGTTCCTTCAGTTAATGTGCTTATCAATGGTCACTGCAATTTGGGAACCGTCTTCTTTAATGTCCAGTTACTCTTTCAAGAGCCCTGTATATGTGAATAACCCCTGGATGAACAAGTTTTAAGAACCACACAACAAATTGATATTTGACTAACCAACACCAGACTGGTTAGTTGTGGACATAATAGCAGAAAAGGACAGACAGAAAGAGATACCCATCTATCTTCATGCTGGTAGAGGTTCTCTCAAGAAAGTACTCTGCAGCGCTGGGCAAGTTACTCAGACAGCTCGCTAACAGTACACTTTCTCTGGCAGAATTTCTGCACACATCCTGCTGGTAATTAAATTTCAGGTCTTCCTGGCAGTATGATACCCTCACCATGTATTGGTACTCCTGCCCTGGAAGAGCCAGGATACACATGGTAAATAACTCTCATTAATCCTCCCCAGTTCATTTTGTGTGCATCATTCTCATTCTGTAGGTTCAGCTCCTTTCAGCATTCCAGGAAATCCACAAAGACCTCAGGATTGCCTTCTATTGATTGGTCCTCAAATAGGAGGCAGCTCATCTAACATATCCTCGATTTTCATTGTTTGTAGAATCGCACAGAAGAGATGACTACCCAGAGTTAGCTGATCTTCCTGTGACAGCTAAAATAACATCTGTTTCTGAAGCTATAAAGGAGAAGTTAGTTGTCCCATAATGTGTGACAAATAAATTCACAGAAAGGCGCTAGGAAACCTAAATTCAGAATGTAGTACCAGAATAGTAATGCAGTCCAGGGAAGGCATCCCAACCTGGCGCTGGCACAGCCACAAGTCAGGAGATGAACATACACTTCAGTGCAGCCTTCTCCTACATGTTCTTAGGTTCTGTGCTGCCTTGCGTGTGCGATGTGAGTCAGACTCTAACAGGCACACTGTAGATGGTGTCCAGGTGCAGGACCAGACGTGGGAAGGAACAGCCAGGGCTTCTGCTCCGAGTAATAAGTCTAATACCACTGCATGAGTCTAATACCACCTCTACCCATATAATAGTTTCTGAAGTGGTAATTAGAGATTTTCATATATTCATGCTGCAGTGTTCTTCCTAAGGCACAACAGGCTGGTTACAGTGCTCCTTAAGCAGGATGGAATGACAGGCCTTTGCTTCAGGGTCTGTGTAAGGTGTGAGAGGAAGGAAATGTGTCACTAGACATCTGCGAAACTTTTTGAAAGTCTAATTTAGGGATCTTTAGTGTCAATAAGAAGGTTAATCAGAGAAATTGATCTCATCTGTGACATTACACTCAGGAACCAAATTTTGATAAAGCTTTTAGTCTTGGATCTGGGACTCTGATATGGACCCATTGTTTATACGCCTATACTTTATAATGATCCTTATAATTATTTTCATTTAATCCTCTTTCTTTTGATGGCTTTTTGATCTCCTGCTAATCATCAGCTGAAGATACGCTCCTTCTTTTCACGTTGTAGTGAAAATGCCAATCAAGAAATACATTTCTTTGTTAGCAACCAGTCTCAGCAAGACTAAAACCAGAATTCACTGCACGTGCGCTCAGGCTAATGAAATATGAAACTCACTCATGATTGCCACAGGGAAAGTGTTAGTTAAGTGAGTTCACACCTGGGTCAGATAGTTCTTTGTTCTTTGTTGTAAGGGAAGGAATAACCTGAGGGTAACTTCGAGCACAATCTACACCGGAATCAGCCTGTTGCCCTCACACCTTCCAGCTAAGTCACACCATGAGGGAGAGGCCATGGCACTGCACTGAAGTGTGACACTGAATGTGTCACTTATGGGGCTTGGTAACATGACCCAGAACGTGACCCAACACAGCTGGCTGCCAGATCAAAGAATTCAGCAGCCAGCTACCTCCAGCACGTCAAGATGTGAAATAGGAGAGAGGTTTTGGCTTTGTGGTGCACAAATACATGAAGGTATTACCCCTCACTGTAAAGGACTAGGAAGTAGGTGGCAGTTGTAT